CAACACCAAGTGATGACCTTGAAGCAGCTGTGAAAAGTCTCCCAACACACACTAGCCCAGCACTGGAGGGACTCTCAGCCAAGTTCCACCAGTCCTTCAAAGAACAACTGTGACCAGTCCTCCTCGGGTTATTCCATGAAACAGAAAAGGAAGAAACTGCCAAACCCAWMCTGTGGGCCAGCATCACCACTCCAGACCTGACCAAGACTCATCAAGGAAGCAAAACCTCAGTCCATTACCCCTGATGAACTCAAATGCAAATATTCTTAATAAAATTCTGGCCAATCACATACAAAAACATGTTACAAAGGCAGTGCACCATAAAAAAAATGGGTTCATTCCACAAATGTAAGGTTGATCCATCACATGCAAACCTAGGAATGTCATTCACCATGAAAATAGACTTAACGACATGAATCACATAATTATTCCAACACAGTAAAGTGCTCACTCATATCTAAAACACTAGAGGAACTAGGAACGGAAAGAACATATGTTAGTAGTGTAAAGGTCATATATGACAAACCCAAGGTCAACATTATACTGAAGGGAGAAAACCTAAAACATTTCCACTGAAAACTGGAACAAGTGTCACAGGTCCACTTTCACCCACCCTATTCGATAAAGTCCTTGAAATCCTACCCAAGCAATCAGGCAAGAGAAGGAAATTAAAGGGATACAAATAGGAAAATCAAATTATCTATTTGCTGATGACATGATCTTATATTTAGAAGACCCAGAAAAACTGCWCCAKAAGACTTCTAGAGTTCATAAACAAATTTCATAAGAGCAGGAGAGAATATCAAACACTAAAATCAGTAATTTTCTATACTCCAATAAGGAATCTGTCACAAAGGAAATGAGGAAATATATTCCATTCACAATAATCTCCCCCCCCCCCCACAAAAAAAACCCAAAACCCTTAGGAATTAACTTAATAAAGGATGGGAAGGTTGTCTACAGTGAAAGGCAGAGAACAGTGAAAAAAGAAACTGCAGACCATGGAAGATGGAAAGACCTGTGGTCTTCTGGGAATGGCAGATTCATGTTCTAAAAATGGCCACACAATCAAAAGCATTAAGCACATTCATGCAATTCTTATAAAAGTGTCAATGGCATTCTTCAAAGACTGAGCCACAGCACTCCTAAAGTTCATTTGGATAAATAAGAGACCCACAGTGAAAAGTCAATCCCGAGCAGGAAGAGTGATCCTGCAGTCGTGAAGGTTCCTGATGTCAGCTACGCTGGAGAGCCAGGTGACAAAGGCAGCAAGGTGCTGGCACCCAGACAGGCCTGGAGACCTGGGAGGGAGCAGAGGACACAGGCAGGCCCCTGGGGACAGGGTCCAACACCAGGCAGCCGAGATGAGGCAGCCTTTCTAACAGTGGGGCWGGGTCCTGAAACCCTGCAGAGAAGACCCGGCCGCTCTCCTGCACGAGTCACCTCCACGTGAGCCAGGACCTGGGGACTGCACCCAGATGTCCACAACCACTGGAAGAATATGCAGGCCTAACACCCCAACATGTCCCTGAGGAACTTTCTCACAAGGCCCCTGGAGCCCATGAAATAAAACCAAAAATCAATAAATGGGCTGGTGTCAAATTTTAAAGCTTACGCACAGCAAAGGAAACAAGAGTGTGAAGAGAGCCCACAGAATGTGAGATGATCTCAGCTCCTGCTCCTTAATAATACCATGACAGCCAGAGCGTACAGAGGCCTGAAAAACTAAACACCCAAATAAAATGACATCKTCATCATCATCATAAGGCCCAACTAATCACTAGGTAAAAGAAATATAAAAAGACAGTTCTCAAAAGAAGAAATACAAGATCTGAACAAATATATGGAAAGATATTCAGCATCTCTAAAAATTAGGGAAATTAAAATTAAGAATAAAATGAAGTTTCATCTCACCCCCAGTCAGAATGTCAATGGTCAAGTATACAAAGAACTGGGGCTGGGGTTGTGGCTCAGTGGTAGAGCACTCGCCTAGCATGTGCAAGGCYCTGGGTTTAATCCTCAGCACCACAGAACAATAAATGAATAAAATAAAGGTATTGTGCCCAAGTATAACTAAAAAATAAGATATATATATTTTTTAAAAAAAACAGAATACCGAGAACAATATGGGAGGAAATGTACACTTATACATTGCTGATGGAACAGCAAATAGRCATAAGCACTCTGGAAAGCAGTCCTGAAAATAGTAGGAATGGACCATATGACCCAGCTACCCCACTTCTCAGTATATATTCAAAGGATTTTAAATCCGCACACTACAGTGAGGCACCACATCAATGTTTACAGCAGCTCAAGTCACAGTAGCCAAGCTATGGAACCAACCTGAATCCCCATCAACACACGAATGGATAAAAAAATGTGGTGTATATGACAATGAAATATTATTCAGCCATAACAAAGAAYGTCGTATGCATCTGTTGGTCCACGGATGGACCTGGAGACTACCGTGCTAAGTGAAACTGATCAGATCCTAAAAGTCAAAGTGTAAATATTTGCAGTGATATATGAAAGTTACTGAATAATAAGGAGGAAGGGAGGGAGAGAGGGAGGGTGAGAGAGAGAGAGACAGAAGGAGAAGGAGGAGGAGGAGGAGGAGAGGAAGGGAGGATGGAAGGAAGGGAGGGAGGGAGGGAGGGAAGAAGGTAGGTCAGTCGGGTCTTCGATCTAACTAGGAAAAAACTCTGTGGACTGGATGCAGGGGCCCAGGGGGAGGGAGAATGAAGTGGAAGAGAGAAGAGGAGGAGAAGGAACGAGTCCTGAGTTTCCTGAGAGCCACATCAATCACCTGGTGGAGTGCACTTCCCTCTTATTCCAGAGCTCTGTAGAGTGATCTTCATYCCTCTCTTTTTTGTCGTTTATTACACTATGATAATACACACTAGAGGATAAATGATTCCATGTTCATAGTACAYGGAACACGTTTCATCATACACGCAACATGTTCCCGTACTTCCTCATTCTTTCCCTTTCTCCTCCTCCTGATTGGCCGGCTCTACTCTTCTGACCTCCCTTTTGTTATAATCATCTCAAAATCATAAATATATGTGTACATATATGTGACTCATTATGGTCTTCTCATAATGGGCCTAGCATAATTTGGGTGATTTTTTACCTCTTTCTCTCAATCCCAGCCACTATTCTATTGGCCACCCTCCTATTTTCACAAGATCTCTTTCTTTCCTCCTTTTATTATTTTATATTTTTTATTTTTTATTTTTGGCAACAGAGATTGAACCCAAGGTGCTCAACCAGTAAGCCACCTCTCCAACCCCTTTTTATTTCATATTTTGACACAGGGTCTCACTAAGTTGCTTAGAGCCAAACTAAGTTGCTGATGCTGGCTTTGAACTTGAGATTCTCCCACCTTGKCCTTCCTGGCCCCTGGGACTACAAGCAGGTGCCACCGAGTCTTGCGCTTTTCTCCCCTTGTGCTTCCTAAGCAGGCTGGGGCCTGGTCGCTACAGATAGCAGCTGCAGAGCTTCAGGAATCATTGGTAGGTTTCTGGTACCTTTCAAGTTGAGAGAAACAGGATACACATGGATACCCAGTGTTCCTCAACCCTTGGTTTGAAACGCCGTCTTTCCCCCAACACATATTTTTGCCACCTTTGTCAGAGGTCAGATGTCTGTGCCTGGGTGGGTTGGCCCCTGTGACCTCTAGTCCATTCCATTGSCCTTTCTGTCATTTCAGGTCAGTACCGCGCTGTCTTGTTACTGTGGCTCTGTCGTATAATGTGGGATGTGGTATTGGACGCCTCCAGCATTGCTCTTGGTGCTGAGGATCCGCTTGGCTATTCTGCATCCCGTCCTCTTCCATACGAATTTTCAGACTTTTTTCTCTAGGACTGTGAAGAGTATCATTGCTATTTGATAATGATGGCATTGAACCAGAAGTATACATCACTTTGGGTCATATTGGCGAAAGTACCTTCATTATAGGAGTATTGTCAAACATCATTCCATAAATATTGGTTGAGTCTGTATCTCTTCTTGTCTGTATTTGTCTCCTGTCTTTTTGAAAAACAGATTCACAACTAAGCACATAAGAGGACTCCACATAAACATCAAAATGTGGATGTTGGCAACTACGGAGTGAAAAATGGACGTG